TAATTCTGGTGAGTCTCAATTTCAGAAGGAAAAACTTGATGGTATGTTAATATGTTTTTTTATGTGATTTTAACTAATTTACACTTATAGTTGAGTCAAGGTCAGACTGGACTAACCTCAGATGGCTGGGTCAAATTTTCTTCCACCTCTCCTCCAGCCATCTGGATTTCTCCACACCTTTGTCAAGACCCTTGGACTCCCCATGCTCTATGTATAATTTCCTGTCGTGGTTATAATAGGTTCTCATTTGAAGATTGTGTATATGGAGAACATTCGGCAGAGTGTGGAGAAGATTTGTACGGTTGGATAAATTCTGCAAGTTTAAGCTGAGAACTATTGGCATTCAGGCGATGTGTATATAGCTGTGTCCTACTTGTATACTTTCTTGTATGATTTTGAATTTGTTTATATAATCAACCATTTCGATGGCGGGGAGCTGACTGAAGCATGTCGCACAAGCTAAGCTCAGTAACATGGATGGAGAATTTCCTTTCCCCAGAAATGGAGACATTTGGCAACCCGATATTGACCGGTATTGACCTACTACGAGAACGGATTGTGAATAATTTTTCAATTTTCAATTTTCACTCTACTGCGTAATTGTAGTACTTAACTACCTTCTAGCTTGTATATTTGACGAAGATTAGCTAGAAAACGAGAAAAGGAAATTTGGATACGATCCCTTCGGAGATCGAGTCAGCGGCACCGGCGGCAAGGGAACTGGCTTCGCACGGCATGAAGCGTGGTAATTGATGGTAACTGAAACTGCCATTGGTGCCAATGTACCGGCGTTAATACGCCATATTTTCTTCTTTCCTTCCGGCCACTTTCACGACGAATTCTCGATTTTTTCTAGCTGATTCACGGGCAAAAAGCTATTTTGATCATCGGGATTGGGGCCCATACAAGATCTAAAATAAAACAGGGAGTAGAGCTGAATCTACTGCAAATAGTTCCTGTCTCAGTGACGCACAACAGTTTATTAATTGATAAACATATCCGCTGTCACCCGGTATGTTTTGATACCAACAGAATTGTACCGCAAGGCTCAAGCCGACTGTACAACTGATATTCCGTACAGGCTCAAAGGTTTTTTTTTTCCCTTGACAAACGCCGGATCTTTCATATAACCTTAACCTTGCTTAACTCTCAGCCATCACAGCCCTTCCCGAACCCCCAGTCCATTCGCCATGGTTGTCTTCCGGCACTTGCTCTCGCGGCGGGATACTGTCCTTTTGTTGCTGGGGGCGAGTCTAATGCACCTAACGTCGTTATTCTTCTCTCCACTGACCTCCAGCTCGGCAACCGAATCTAATCTTGTCATAAATCACCATGCCCACATTCCCGACTCAATGAACAGAGTTGACTTGGACCCCCTTCCGCCACCTCCTGACCATGCAGAGTTTGGTACGGGTCGCTTGGATTCGGGTCGTTTGGATACGGGACAGGATGAGAATCGTTACGAAGGGGTACCGGTGAACCATGCTCTCGATAATGATGAGAGTCTGGAGGCAAGTCAAGCCGAAGTCGTCGAAGTCGAGGAAGAAATCCCTATTCATTTAGCCCCCACCCTCCCACATACAACTATTCTCCACCACACCCCGGGATACACCGTTTTCCGCAACCTGTACATGTCCAACGGTACGCTGTACATTCTAGCCTCAGCTGACGAACGGGGTTCGCTACCCGAAATTCGGATGATGGCTAGTACAAGTTTAGAGGCGGATAATTCACCGGAAAACATCGCTGCTCGGGAGCCTACGCCGTATGTTATGGATATTATTGATCCCGAGGAAGCGAAGAACAGATGGGGTGGGGACGTGGAAAAGGGCGTACGGAATAGTGTCTTTACGGTTACAGGTAACACCGTGAGTGCGGATACCAGCCCGAGCTTCCCACCTTCTCCATACTAACCTCGCCTTCCCTCCAGGTCCTCTTCAACGACCCGCCACAATTCCTCCGCCATTACTACCACTATGTCGCCGAGCTCTGGTTCGGAGCATGGTGTTTCTGGGCCGGCGCCTTCGCTTCACCTGTCCCCGAAACCATCCCCTCCGACGACCCAGCAATGTCATCCAATCCCAACAAACAAAATTGGAACGCGTACCCTATCGATATCCAATCCGACCATCCGTCGACATATCAACTCCATCTTTACGACGAGGATGATTTTGATTCCGATTTTGTTGACGTTGGGGCTGGTACACCTATTTCCAAGGGCAACCACCGCCAAGGGCAACGGAAAACCAAAACCAGAATCCCACAACTTGACCGAGCGATATTCATGCACTCAAACGCGGACGGGTGGAGGGACTCCCCAGGGTTCAATGCGTATTTCCAAAGGGCGGCGTTCCCTGGTATGAGTGTGGAGCATCAGGAAGATTGGATGGATAGGGTGTTGGCAACGAGGCCGCCGGAGAGTGTGTGGCAAACTACGACGAAAGTTAAGGGTATGTTATCCCTTTCTTTTGCACTTTCTTTTTTGTTTTCTTTGCTTTTTCGTTCTCGTATCATTGATTCGATAGTCGTCTCTAATATCTGTTCTCTCTAGGTCTCCACCGCGACCGCGCATTCCACTTTCCCCTCGTTCTCTTCGTCGATCGATCGGCCGCGTTCCGCGGGGACATGGCCGGCTCGCATACCCAGCGCACAGCCGCTCAAGCATGGGAATACATGCGGACCCACGGTCGGTTGAGAGGCGAGCGTGTCGGGGGGTGGTGGGAGCCCGTGAGGGACGCGATACTGAGGTTCGCTGGAATGGGCGACCTGACGGAGGAGTATAGGGATCTGGAGAGTCGGTTGGGTGGTACGGAAGATAAGAGGGTGGGATTCCCTCATAATTTGCAATCAGAACCGCAACCTCAGCTCCCGATACCTAAACGACCGCTTGTGACGTATATATCCCGACAGGGAGGGTCGAGAAGGAAGCTCACGGCCGAGTCGCACAAGTCGTTGGTCGATGCGATGGTGGAGTTGAGGGAGAGGATGAATGAGGAGGAGAGGGAAGGGGAGGGGTCTGGGTTTGATTTTCTTGTTATGGAAGCGGAGAAGATGACGAAAGATGAGCAGTTGAGGATCATAGGGAAGACTACGGTTAGTTTTTACTCTCGCATTATTGGCGTGTAATGCGCTTGCTGACTACTCTGGCTTTCCGGCTTCCATACCGCTAACAGATCTTACTTGGCCCGCATGGAAATGGGTTGACGCATCTGGTGTTTATGCCCCCGACGCGTATGTCAACAGTGATCGAAATATTCTATCCTGGCGGCTTCGCGCATGACTATCATTGGACGTCGAGGGCTCTGGGGATGCAGCATTACGCAGTGAGTCTCTAGTTCCTTATTACTTCCTCTTCAGTTCTCTTCTCCTTCCTCGGCATCCTGCCTTGTATTCCAACCTCCGATCGCTCCTCTCCTGAGCTCCCTCCCGTATCATCATCGAATACTAACTTTGAATTTTCTTCTCCAGGTATGGAACGACACGTATCACACACATCCAAATGAACCCCGCGTGGATTATCCGGAAGGGTTCCAGGAGGATTATATACCTGTGCATGGACCGACGGTGGCGAAGATCGTGGAGGAGAGGCTGAGGGTGGGGGAGAAACGCGCGTGATGTAGGCTATTCGCTCAGGATTAAGGGAGGAGTGGGGATGGACAGTCCAAGGAAGCACGGCAGCGTTGTTTGTGAAAGGAAAAAACATGGAACGAAAAGATAAAGAAAGGTGGAGCCAAAGATGATTTTACAATCCTTGGCTATGGCGCAACTTATAGGCACCCCTCCGATACCGTCCCTCACGCGAGATACCATTGTCTTCCATCTCGTTACCCTCTTCATACGCATTTCGAGCCTCACTTGTGAGCGAAGCCCTCCTAATGTCGACCATCATGATCCCCCATACCGAAATACCCCAAAAAAATCCGCTTGAGCGGAGATACTGTCATTTTGATATACCTTATCGTGTCGAACGTCGAGCCATCGAAGTTGGACGTGGAACTCATTCGGCCTGTGCCATTCATTCTCATTCACACCGTCAAACTTATGCCGCCCGTCATCATGACCCTTCATTCTTTCACCCTCAACCCTCCCGCGCTCTTTCATTTTATTGGTCGATATCGTCCGTTTTTTCACCCTTCCCTCGCCCCTCGCCCCTCGCCCCTCGCCCTCCCCATCTTTTCCTTCCCGAGCTGTATGCACCTCCTTGGCTCATCCTGCCTGCTTGTTTGTACCTTTCTCTCTCTTGTACCTTTCTTTATTCTCCCACTTGCATACGTATCTAATATTTATTTCCTCGCTCCATCTCATGTCGTTGTGTTTTTGCTATCCTTTCCATCATTGCATCACATCGTCTCATCCTGTGCAAAATCCCCGTCGATGATTCATCTGTTTGTTTGTCAATGTGTCTGTTTATTATTTGGGTTTGGTTGTTGAGCATTGATTCCTTGACCTTCCATGGCACCGACGAGGGAGTGGGTATCTTTCTGTGGTCTCCGTCAGTCTCGGACTTGTTTTCCGTGTTTGGACCTAGGATAAGTAGGTTCGCATCTCTTTTCCCCTCGTGTACTCGTTTGCGATGTACGTAATGCATATATATATTGTCGCACAGTTATCATGTTCCGTGGCCGATACATACTGACTGGCAATGACGAGTCGTCTCTTTGCCTGATATCCCCTTCCCCACACTCAAATCGCAAATTCTTTGTATAATTCATTCCTGTATATACAACCTATTCTGAGTACTACTATATGTATCCTGGACGTATACGTATGTATTTATCCGGTTTGCAGAAAAAATCGGTTACGTCTGTTGCTTTTTCTGTGGATTGTCAAACCGAAGCTGAGCCGCCAGGGGAACGGAATAATGAGAGTTGAGGCATTTACCATAAATGTCAATTGAGAATTTAATCACAGGTTTTTTACTGGTAGTTCATTTCGAGGAGAAAAAGCTGTAGACTGTAAAAAAACTGGAGGACATGTAAAAAAAATTCAAGAAAAATAATGGGCCTGACCGGGAATTGAACCCGGGACCTCGTCGATAGGTCACTTGGGAAGAGAACCCTAACAACGAATCATACTCCTAGACCATCAGGCCACATGCTATGGGAGACTCAGGTAACTGTCAACATTAACCCAGCGTGATGTGTGCTTCAGCGTTCATGCAATCCCTTGCTCGGATTTCATGTACTTTACACGACACAATGACTTCAGTACCCTTCTAGTCTTTGTTCCAGTCCTTAAAGCATCTCTGCTTCAGGAATATTTCTATCATTGCAATCGCACTGAGTGACTCAACGAGACCAGCTCGGGAAACAGCCAGACAAACTGCAATGACTCAAAAATCACAGCCCAATGTTACAGAAGCATTATATATTTACTTGCTCAATTTACAACAGACGAATACGACGTGATTATACAAATACCTGTTACATACAAGTCGTTGGCTGATGCCTTTCGATCCCTTTCTCCTTCTAAATCACTTGAACACTATCCACAAAGGTATCCACTTTACCGTCCCTCATCTCCAAAATGAAAGTTCCCTTATTGCCGTTACGATCAGTCTGAAATAGCTTTCCCCATCCCGTGGTCAGATCAAGTTCACCGTAAACCTCTAGGTTTGGCCCGACGACGTTTTCCGCATTCCGATTTGAACTGACGATTTTGGCTTTAAAGCGAAAAATGCCTTTGAGCTCATAGCATGTCTCTGATCTCGGGAATTTAACATTTTCTGTACCAATTTGAATGGGATGAAGCAGACATCCTAGCCCGCCTAGAAGTTGCAACACTTCCTCCTGGATATAAATCGTGGGACTGGATGATTTGGTCGCCCCCTCGGGACGTTCATAGGTGACCGTAATGATCTTGGGGTCATTATGGAGGGTCCTAACGCGATGAATTGAGGAACTGGCTTTGTGCCCTTGGCAAAAGCCTTTTAACTGTGAGAACTAGCATGAGGGATAACAGCGGGATTGGAGATGGGTCAGAACTCACATTAAGAGGTTTAGCCAGTGATATCTGTAGCCAACTAATACCGAAGGCAAAAACGAGGATTACACAAGCGAGGGACGACTTCATATGTACAGTAATAATGATGTTAAGGCGTGATATACGAAGTCTTCAGATTCAGAGCGGGGAAGGTGAGTGAGTCCGTGTCCTCTGAACCAGCAAAGGAGATGCTCGACCAGCGAGATGAAGAAATCTTATTCCCAGCTGTCTTCTTGCTTGCGACTTATAGTGGGCGAAATGATCCGCTCAACGGACTTTGCCTTATCGGGCTTTGATGTTTTCGCTTGGATTACTCTAGTTCCAAATGTCGCCATTCGCTTAATCGGTGAATCATTTGAGAAAGTTGCAATCGAACCTGATTACCAGCTTATCACTGCACGACCGTTATGGTTCCCTCTGACGCCGGTATCTCAAGTGTTTGAGGAAAGATTTCGACAAAAACATCGAGCTGGTACCGGTATAATCACCAACCAGGATCGAGATATAAAGGCGGTCGAGTCCAAAAGCTCATACGCGCTTTTCCTTCACTGATACGCTGCATTCTCAGGAAGTTGTATCCCTGCGAAACGGATTTGGTCCATCAGCGTCCAAAATATCTTTTGTCGCTGATTCGCATCGGAGAATTTCATTATCTGGCCTTCCATAGAAACATTCTGGCAACTTACTTTGTGAATGCGTGCCTTTTCGTGGTAGACGACAAGCTGGAAAGTTGCTTTCGGTCATGAATTCGAACTTAGGGAATTCGGTGCTTTGGCAGCAGTACCAGTAAACTATCCTATCGTAACTTCCGCAATATCCTTGGTCAAGCTTGCGGTGAAGACATATACAGTCACTTCGTGACCAACAAACGCGATGCTAATTGAGATAAACCTTGACAAGAAAGAGGAGACTGAAGAGGGAGCCCATAAGAGAGTTCTGGTTGCGCTCATGGAGATTTTCTAGTCAGAATGAGGACATCGACATAAAAATCGGAAGTTTCAGAAAGAAACAATTCAAAGAACGTAGACAACGATAATGAAACGAACCCAACTACGTAGAGCCAGTGCAGTTGAACCCTATAGGATTCACAAGGTTATTGCACTTGAATTCTCGTCCTCCGACGCTTGTTATATCATCAAAGCCGAGTAGGGCAATACCTGGGCACGGCGCATCTCCACTGCACTGCATCGAAGCCAGCGTATCAGACTGTATACTACCAGTTATACCCGGTCCCCAGGTAATGTTTGATATTTGGAATAGAGACGTATCACACTCGTTAGAGAGGCCTTCAAAAGAGGTACATTGAGTGATCTCGGCTACGTTTCCGGTGACGTTGTGGAGAGTGAAGTCCCGGAAAGCTATTGTGATGTATTTGATTAGCTACTGTACGATGATGATTCCAGTACTTACTGAGATTGGTTGCAAAGCCGAGACCACCTCCACCACCTACCAGCCACTACTTCAGATGAGACACTTGGATAGCCAAAAAGAACTTGCCATTAGGAGGAAAGCCTTGCTGTACGCCTGTGAATGTCTTGATATATGCAGCAAAATGGGTGCCGATTGCCACAACTCGCTCTGCCGTGACGTTTGAAATGAATTCGAATGCTCCGTCCATTTGACCGATCGACCTTGGAAAATGTCGTGTTAATTTTACCGCTCATTGCATAATTATAGGATAATGAAATGCTCACCCAATCGCAACTCCTGCTCCATTGAAGAATACCGAGTCTTGAATCAGGATATTCGTGGAATTAGCTTTCATTGATATTGAATCGTCCCCATTGACAACAGTCCAGTTTCTGAAAGTTATCCCGTCACAGTAGAATGTGTCTACCCCATCTGTATTCTGGATAGGAGAGCTGTTATTTGAAGTCGAGTTAATGTAAATGTTCTCCAACAGAATATTTTCTGATCTGTTGATTGCCATACTCCAAAATTGCGACTGGACGAAACGGATTCCTGTGTAATGAGAATTTGTCGAGTTGGCGATCGTGAGACTGATAGGACGCCCGGCCAAGTTCGAGATACCGTCGGCAAAGTCGTACCTAGTAAAAAACCTAAATCCACAGAAAGGAAGAATGAAAGGCGAAATACCGACCATATTTGACCATTGCCGTCGAAAGTTCCTATATTATGACCGTCGAAAGTCACATGATCTCCACCGAAAACCCAAGCCGTTGACTGGTTTTGATAACCCAAAGGTAAGCTATTGTTTCTCCAATACGTGATATTCGTTCCCCACTGCCAAAGCGTGATAGATATATTGACAGCTGCTGCAAGTTCGAAGTACCCACCAGCATTCTTCCTGTCAGGTCGACCTGAACATTCGATAATCCTATAGTTTCCATCACCGACTCGATATGATACAGTGGGTCATGTAGCTGGATGACTCCGTCAGTTCCACACAACCGAAATGCCTCTAGGATAGCTGGTGCATCGTCCGAAGCATCTCTACTAGCATGAACTGTACAAGTCGATCCTTCCTTTTGAACAGTTCCCGAAAGAACCAGGGTAAATGAGGCGAAAAAGAGCAAAAAGCTCAAAAGTTTTGCAACTGAGGGCGACATGAGCGGATAGCTTTCTACTCACGCTACAAAATATGTCTCCGCCAATGCGCATCCTTGGTATAAATACTCTCCGTTCCTCCTGTGGAGCAATCAGGCGGTCCGAGGAAAGAAGAAATTGCATGCTCATGTGAACCTTTCATGTTCAACAGAGCTTCGTCAGTAGCTGCGAATACTAAGTTTTAAGGAAGTCCTGCGTCATTGCGTACTGGATACGTCGAATGTCCTACCGGCTACTGCAGCAGATGACCTTGCGTGCTAAAATATCGTGGGAGGCACAACTATCTCATCTTGACACAGTGATACATATAGTGATTTCGAGAAAGTCTCGTTCCAGATTTCGAAGTTCCGGGTGATGGGCTAGCGATTGGCGAAGAGCCGGCGGTGGTCGTCAGAACGAGAGAAGTGCCGTGGGAGGATTTAAACGGGCCGTCCTTGGTGAGAAGAGAAAACAACGACAGGTTCGAAGTAGACTGAACCATCAGAGAAGAATGTGTTCTGCATGTCCTAAGACTAAGAAACCAAGGAAGAAATTACTCTAAAAGAAAAGAAAGAAAGAAAACGGAAGGAAAAAAGACTGAAAGTGAAAACAACTACCATTTCCGCCAGATGTCAAAGCTGTACATACTCAACGCAGAGTCAATATCTTTTCTGCTTTTGTTCGAAGCGAAGACTTCAACGTTGAGGGACGGGGTTTTAAACTTATTATTGTGATTCTCGGCCACAATTCACCAAGAAGGCTTTTTTTGCGCGGATTTACCAGTACTTATAGGCCTGTAGTTGAAGGAATTCAAATCGACTTCATGAGATAATGCAGAGGAATGTCAAAATTTAATTTCCGGGAATCTCAGAATTCGTAGTTCAGGGCACGAGCAAAGAATTGTATCAGGAAAAGAGAATAACATCGCAGAACATATGCAAACGGACACCAGAAATACGAAGTGGTGGTCAGGCGAATCACTCGTCTGACACGGGAACTAGGTCCCACAACTGCTCAGGGCTTCCCGTGCATTCGAGAGTCCTGACGGATGGGTCGCCGTTGCTATCGCCGGGAACATTGACACATTCGTCGTGACCGGGAACGAAGAGGGTACAGGCAGTAGCCGAACCGTCATCTCCGCACGATTGGCAGGAAATAATCATATCAGCATCTGTGGAGTCACTGCAAGAGCCGGTGGTCAAGAGCTTGAGGACGTCCCCCTGCGAGTCGGACGGAGCGAGGACGCAGTTTACAGGGGGGTCGATCTGGTTAATGCTACGAGGTCAAAGTGAGATGAGTATCATTGATTGGATTTATAATTGAAGCAAACGCACGAGATGGTCCAGCTTCCAGAAGAAGTCGAGTAAAAGTACCATGGCTCTAATCCAGGAGGAATTTGTTCCTATAGAAATTTATGAGAACGGTCTACAGGAAGAGGTTGTATGGGAGTCGTACCAGATGAACGCCACTAGGATTACTGTCGCTTGCACCATTGAACAGCCAGATGTAAGAGTCTGAGAATGACGAATTTAACTTTGAAAATCAAAATTTACCTATGTACCA